GTAGAGCGCTAGCCTTGAGCTGAAGAGCTGAGGGACAGCACCCAGGCCCAGAGTTCAGGCCCCACAACCGGACCAAAAAAATAAAATAAAATAAAAAGGATGGGCTGGGAAGGTGGCTCAGTGGTAGAGCGCTTGCCTTGCATGCATGAGGCCCTGGAGTCCATCCTCAGCACCACATAAACAGAAAAAGCCCGAAGTGGCACTGTGGTTCAAGTGGTGGTAGAGCACTAGCCTTGAGCTAAAGAGCTGAGGAACAGCATCCGTGCCCTGAGTTCAGGCCCCACGACCGGCAAAAAATAAATTAATTAATTAATAATAACTAAATAAAAAATAAAAAGGACAAGGGAAACCAGTGAAACACATACATAATAATTCAGATAAAGGGCTGGGAAGGTGGCTCAGTGGTAGAGTGCAGGTCTTGCATTCCTGAGGCTCTGGGTTTGATTCCTTAGCACCACATAAGCAGAAAAAGCAAGAAGTGGCGCTGTGGCTCAAGTGGTAGAGCGCTAGCCTTGAGCTGAAGAGCTGAGGGGCAGCGCCCGGACCCAGAGTTCAGGCCCCACGACCGGACCAAAAAAACAAACAAACAAAAATAATTCAGATAAAAAATATTATGATCAGCTGGCACTGGTGGCTCAAGCCTGTAATCCTAGTTACTGAGGAGGCTGAGATCTGATGATCATGGTTCAAAACCAGCCCAGGCAAAAAAGTCTGTGAGACTCTTATCTCCAATAAACCACTGGAAAACCTGAAGTGGTGCTGTGGCTCAAGTGTTGGAGTGCTAGCCTTAAGCTGAAGAGCTGAGAGACAGCTCCCAGGCCCAAAGTTCAAGACCCACAACCAACAAAATAATAAAATTAGTATGATGGCAGCTTTTGAAGCGAGTTAGTAGCAGAATGATGAGGTACCATCTAAGACTTTGAGAAGAATGAAATATGTTTGAGTATGGGTTAGAACCTATGAATGGTTGGATTAATGATACTGATAATGACTTCTTTCCTTATGAAACCTGTTTTAGTTTTTGGTGCCTAAGGATCTCACAGGCAGATCTTAGGCACCTAGGAAGTGCTGAGGACATAGTAAACACTCCGGCCATTCACTCATCACCATCTACTAAGCACCTTCTATATCTGCACTGCTACATCTCTGATGGTGTTTATAAAGGGGTCAGGAAATCATCGGACAGGAAGTAGGCTGAACTATACTTGACAAAACTAAAAAGAATGTTATTCAAAAAAAAAAAAAAAAAGCCAGGCGCCAGTGGCTCATGCCTGTAATCCTAGCTACTCAGGAGGCTGAGATCTGAGGATCTCGGTTCAAAGCCAGCCCGGGCAGGAGAGACCGTGAGACTCCTATCTCCAATAAACTACTAGAAAACTGGAAGTGGTGCTGTAGCTCAAGTGGTAGAGCGCTCGCCTTGAGCTGAAGAGCTGAGGGACAAGCGCCCAGGCCCAGAGTTCAAGCCCCACAACCGCCAAAAAAAAAAAAAAAAAGACTATTTAGGAGCATAGATGTTGCTGATGGGACTCAGGGCAACACCTCAGATCAGCCAGAATTTTTGGTCAACCTTGATTCAATACCTTGGGTTTACATAGAGAGATCTCTTAACACCTGGGGGGGGGAGGGGGTCCACAGGCTTTTCCAATTTTATTTTCTTTGTTACATTTTCTGAGATAGGGTCTTACTGTATAGGGCAGGGTGACCTAGATCTCACAATGTAGCCTAGAACATGAAGTCTGGCCTTGAACATGCTAGTCTTTTTTGCTTCAACCTCCCAAGTGCTTTAATTATAGCCATGCACCACGATACCCAGCTATTTTGTTTTCGTTTTTCTTTCTCTCGTTTTTCTTTGTCGATCATGGGGCCTGAACTCTGGGCCTGGGCTCTGCCCCTCAGCTCTTCAGCTCAAGGCTAGCGCTCTACCACTTGAGCCATGGTGCCACTTCTGCCTTTTTCTGCTTATGTGGTGCTGAGGAATTGAACCCAGGGTCTCGTGCATGCAAGGCAAGCACTCTACTACGGAGCCACCTTCCCAGCCCCTGTTTTGTTTGCTTGTTTCAACTTATGTCAGTAAATCTCTGCCCCTCTCCTCTCTACATCTGAATCTTAGTCATTCTTTAAAATTCATATCAAATTTGGCTTCTTCATGAACATCTTCTGTGGTGACCTAGCCTGGAAAGATGTACTTTTTTTTTTCAGCAGTTCTTGTACAATCCAATTGACAATTAATAATAATTGGCTGCCTTACATCATCTTTCCCATTGTTCTGGAATGTTATTTATACCTCTTATTATTTTATAACTTTTTACCTGCTTGTCTTGTCTTACAAAGGAAATATATCTTAAACTTGACCCTAGAACTTTATGACCACAGGGACCTCTGGTCCTACAAGCTGTCTTTGTCATTGTCAAATCCAGGTGGGTAACTCCTACTAATACTCTTGTGTCTCCTTCACCCTGCTCTCCCCACTAGGCGCCTCACTGTGAACATGCTTTCTGCAATGCCTGCATCACCCAGTGGTTCTCTCAGCAGCAGACGTGTCCCGTAGACCGTAGTGTTGTGACAGTCGCCCACTTGCGCCCAGTACCTCGGATCATGCGGAATATGCTATCAAAGTTGCAGATTGCCTGTGACAACGCTGTGTTTGGCTGCAGTGCCATTGTCCGGCTCGACAACCTCATGTCTCACCTCAGCGACTGTGAGCACAACCCGAAGCGGCCTGTGACCTGTGAACAGGGCTGTGGGTGAGATTCCTTCCCTTCGGTCCCACATGGATAAGGGCTTTTCCATTTATACTCCTGCCTCTGGATACACTGCTCACAAGCTGAGGCGGTCTCCTGTGCATGTAAGCAAGGAGCATTCCTCACCTTCTTAGCTCCCTCCCCAAGTTCCTATTTTTTTTTTTTTAATGGTACTGGGGTTTGAACTCAGGGCCTTATACTTGCTTGATTGGTAATCTACCATTTGAGTCATGTCTCCCTGCTTTTATTGGTTACTTTGGAGACAGAATCTCACAAACTTTTCTGCCTTTGCTTTGAACTGTGATCAGTCTCCTGAGTAGGTAAGACTACACTGTAAGCACCCAGCTGAATTGTTTATATATGTATGTATTTAGGTGCTGGTACTGTGGCTAGAATGCAGGACCTTGCACTCTGATATAGCTTTTTTATTCATGGCTGGTATGCTATCACTTGAGCCATGCCTTCTGTCCAGCATACTGCTGGTTAATTGGAGATGGATTCTTTTTCAGACTTTGCTGGGCTGGCCTCAAACTGAGAGGATCTCACTCTCTTGTTCTTTTTCAACCATGATCTTTTTACTCTCCCTTTAATAAAAGAAAGAGGACAACAATTCAGCAATCGGATTTACTTTATTCTTTCCTTTCAATCCAGTACTACTTTCTCTTTGTTAGGCTTACTGCTCTAATTTCCAACCTTCTCATGTTTCTTCTTGTCCTATTTTTTCCTTTCTGAGAGATACGAAGTATTTGATTAAATGCTGATAGCTGGAACAGTGAATCTAGGACTTCTCAGAGTAAGTGCACTGGCCAAATCTGTACAAGGAAAAGAGAGTAATGTGGCCAATGGGCAATAAAGCACTGTCTTTCCTTGTCCTGGTTTATGCTTTCCCTGCTTCTTGTATGCAGTTCTAACAAGACAGGACACACAGCAATCTTCAGTTTAGGAGGGCCATCCTAAGAGTAGGGCTGACTCTTAATAGGCATGAATGTCAATCTGAGAGAGACAAAACAGACAGACATAAGAAAAAATCCTGCAACACTGAAGGTTTTTTGCTTTTTGTGGTTGTTTTGGTACTAGTCCTAAGGTTTGAACTTAGGACCCAGGCACTTGCACTTTTGTGCTCAAGGCTCTCATTCTACTGGTTGAGCCACAGCTCTACTTCTTCGATAGTGAATTGGAGATAAGAGTCTCATAGACTTTCTTGCCTGGGCAGGCTTTGAACCAGGATTCTCAGATCTCAGCCTCCTAAGTAGCTAGGATTATAGGTATGAGTCATCACTATTTTTTTTTTGCCAGTCCTGGGCTTGAACCTCAGGGCCTGGGCTCTAACTCTGAGCTTTTTTCGCTCAAGGCTAGCACTCTATCACCTGAGCCCAGTGCCACTTCCAATTTTTTTCTGAGTTTATTGGAGATAAGAGTCTTGTGTACTTTCCTGCCTAGGCTGGCTTCAAACTGCAATCCTCAGATCTCAACCTCCTGAGTAGTAGCTAGGATTATAGGCATGAGACACCTGTACCTGGCTAATACTGAGTGGATTTTTTGTTTTTTTCTTTTTTGTTTGTTTGTTTGTTTGTTTTTTGTCAGTTGTGGGGCTTGAACTCTGGGCCTGATCCCAAGGCTAGTGCTCTACTACTTGAGCCACAGTGCTACTTCTTAACACTGAGTTTTTTTGTTTGTTTGTTTGTTTTTTGTTTTGGGTCTGGTCATGGGGCCTGAACTCTGGGCCTGGGCGCTGTCCCTCAGCTCTTCAGCTCAAGGCTAGCGCTCTACCACTTGCCACAGTGCCACTTCCGGCTTTTTTCTTTTTGCTTATGTGGTGCTGGAGAATCGAACCCAGGGCCTCATGCATGCAAGACAAGCGCTCTACCACTGAGCCACCTCCCCAGCCCTTAACACTGAGTTTTTTGTTGTTTTTTTTTTGGGTCCGGTCATGGGGCCTGAACTCTGGGCTTGAGCACTGTCCCTAAGCTCTTCAGCTCAAGGCTAGTGCTCTACCACTTGAGCCACAGTGCCACTTCTGGCTTTTTTCTTTTTGCTTATGTGGTGCTGAGGAATCGAACCCAGGGCCTCGAGCATGCAAGGCAAGCGCTCTACCACTGAGCCACCTTCCCAGCCCAACACTGAGTTTTGAAGGATGAAAGTTCAGAGAAAGTTGTCAGCAAAGTGGCAAGGAAGATGCTTGGGAGAAGAGAATAAAAGGAATAAATAATAGACCTGAAATGAGTGCTAGAAATTTAGAGTTGAAGAAAAGCCCACTTGGCAATTTTCTGCCACAGAATAAGCTCTTAGCTCACATGTCCCATTGAATGAGCCTATTCTCCTCTATCCCCACCCTGGACTGCAGCCTGGAGATGCCCAAAGATGAGCTGCCAAACCACAATTGCATTAAGCACCTGCGCTCCGTGGTACAGCAACAGCAGACACGTATTGCAGAGCTGGAGAAAACGTCAGCTGAACACAAACACCAGCTGGCAGAGCAGGTAAGCCCCAGAGAACACAGGGAAAGTATGTCTATCATATGCAAATAGCTGGCAAATACCGCTGTGAACACATACACCTGTGTTGTGTTTATGAGACTAGATGAGCAGATTGTTCTGACTATGGCTTAGTAGAGAATCAGATTAGAGTTTTCTTACTTCACCTCATTCATGTCATTTATCTAAAATTTATCAAATGCCTTCTCTGTGAAAGCCCTTTGCATGGAGAAAACAAAATAGCTAGAAATGAGACATACTATCTCTTTATTTTTGTGCCAGTGCTGGGACTTACAGTTGGACCTGGGCACTACCCCTGAGCTTTTGCTCAAGGCTAACACTCAACCAGTTAAACAACTTCTAGCTTTTTGGTTGTTAATAGGGAATAAGAGTCTCACATAGCCTGTGTGGTGACTAACACCTGTAATCCTCAAGTGTTAGCTGAGCCTCTCAGGAGGCTGAGATCTGAGGTTTGGGTTCAAAGACAGCCAGAGCAGGAAAGTCTGTGAGATTCTTCTCTCCTATTACAGAAAAAGCCAGACGTTAGCACTGTAGCTCAAGTGGTAGAGTACTAGTCTTGAGCAAAAGGAGCTTAGGGACAGTGTCCAGGCCCAGAGCTCAAGCCTTTATTATTAATTAATTAATAAAGAGTCTCGGACTTTCCTGCCTGGACTGGCTTCAAACTGCAATCCTCAGATCTTAGCTTCCTGAGTAGCTAGGATTACAGGCCTGGGCCACTGGTGCAGCTGCCCTCATTCTCTTGGCTTTTTTTTTTTGTCGGTCATGGGCCTGAACTCTGAGCCTGGGCCTGAACTCTGAGCCTGGGCGCCGTCCTTCAGCTCTTCAACTCAAGCTAGCGCTCTAGCCACAGCGTCTGCTTATGTGGTGCTGAGGAATCAAACCCAGGGCCTTATGCATGCAAGGCAAGCTCTCTACCACTGAGCCACCTTCCCAGCCCCTCTCTCTTGGCTTTTATCTGCTGTTTGCCTTAACCATCACCACTGGTTCTCTTTTCCTCCAACAGAAGCGGGATATCCAGCTACTAAAGGCATACATGCGTGCAATCCGCAGTGTTAACCCCAACCTTCAGAACCTGGAGGAGACAATTGAATACAACGAGATCCTTGAGTGAGTGTCCATATCCTGCCACCAAAGCCTAAAAGGAAGAAGAGCAGGGAGTGGCAGAAGAGGGCTAGACTAAGAGTTGGCAGTAAGATAGCTAGGCCGAGCCCACTGTTTCTTAGATGTTGGGAGGTAAAATTCAGGAACAGAGAAGACAATAACCCTCAGCTCCAGCACAGGATATCTTATGTATTTGGGTGGTAAAAGAGGAAGCCTACCCAGCGACCCAGTCTGTCCAGAATTAGGTGAGTACAACCAAGTACAAAGTCCTGTATTAAAGGAGTGTGAGGAGAGACAAAAAGAAATAGAAGATATCATCCCTGATATATCATCTTCAGGTAGCTTACAGCCCAGAGAAGAGGAGGCAGAGTGCATATCCAGGAAAGTGATCTAAAATGCAGCAAATACAAAGTAAACAAGCAAAGTCTTAAGATTCCATTCAGTTCTGGAGTCCTATTCAGTTCAAAGACTAAACTGTAAGTGTGAAATGATATATATACAGGACAACTAGTGCTAAGTGGGATACAGTATAGAAGAATCGTTGCTTGATTTCAGTAGACATCTGTGAGCACTTCTTACGTGCCAAGCACTAGATGTGCTAAGCACTGGGATTTCAAAGAAAAAGAGCAGGGACACAATGTAGGAGCTTGAAGTTTAATCTGGTGCATAGTATGGCGATTTGGATGGGACCAACTGGGAAAGAGTTGGGGGTTCTGAGCAAGCTGATGCTAGAAGGAAAGATGGGATAATAGAGACAAGCTGACTGCAGAGTGGGTGGTCATTCCTCTTAGGAAAAGCCAAAACAGAACGAAAGGATGAGCTGGAATGACCATGCCCAACCCTCCACACAGGTGGGTGAACTCCCTGCAGCCAGCAAGAGTGACGCGGTGGGGAGGGATGATCTCCACACCGGATGCTGTCCTCCAGGCCGTCATCAAGCGCTCCCTGGTGGAGAGTGGCTGCCCTGCCTCTATTGTCAACGAGCTGATTGAAAATGCCCACGAACGTAGTTGGCCCCAGGGCCTGGCCACACTAGAGACAAGACAGATGAACCGGCGCTACTACGAGAACTACGTGGCCAAGCGCATTCCTGGCAAGCAGGCCGTTGTCGTAATGGCCTGCGAGAACCAGCATATGGGTGATGACATGGTGCAGGAGCCGGGGCTTGTCATGATATTTGCGCATGGTGTGGAGGAGATATAGGAGACTCGATCAGCTGTCAGGAAGAGATGGAAGTCAGAAAAACTCTCATCACTCCAGCAACTGGGCCCTGAATCCTTCCCACTATCCTTAATGCCATGACCGGCACTGGAGCCACACATTCCCCTGCCCTTCTGACACAGAAGGGCCCTGGGACACTTAGATCAGCCTTTTGGGAGGGAGACTCAGATTCCTGCCTTTTGCCATATTTCTTCCCCTAAAATGTCTGTCAGTGTACAGTTGGGGTGGGAGAGTCCTGCCAAAGGTCCCTGGTTCTAGATATTTTCAGAAAGCACAAGAGATTTGGTTTCCCTAGAGGATCAAGATGGAGTGAGGAGTCTTAATCATTGTCCCTCTCCTCCAAAACCAGGGAATCAGAACAGGCAGACCTATTGGCTCTAAGCTGCATTTAGAGGGCAGCTCTGAGGAGCAGACTTCCTGAAGGAATTGTAAGGGTGGAACCAAGACCCTAGAAGTCAGTAGTGAGGCCAGGAGTTGGCCATCACTGGTAACCCTTAGGGGACCATTGGACCTGTGTGCCAAGCACATCCCTGTACGGCCCACCTTAAAGGTGCAGGCTCCTGCTGGGTCTGCAGGTATACAGGTTGGATTGCTGAAAATTTCCAGATGAGCTCTTTTTTTTCCTACGTGTTTTCATAATTAGGGAATGACAGCATTGGGAGTAGGGGCTAGACTATTGGGGTTCATATGCTCAGCGAAGTGGCTGCTCTCTGGCTTTTGCTGGAGTAGGATAGGCATTGCCTCTTGTGGCATGTCCATAATAGTTCATACACTCCTCTCTGTGATTATAGTGAGTTATTTTGATAATTTCCTTTGGCTGTTTGTTTATACTCCACAAATCCCATCTGTTTCCCACTTTTTTTTTTTTTTAAGAATGGCCTGGTTATGGCTACCTTACTCTCTAGCCCAGCCACATTGTTGGCAATTTAATTTATTTACTTTTTTTTTTTTAAAGAAAGGAAAAAAGAAAAAAAATCAAACTTTTCTTTTGCTGTTCCTATTGTGGGGATTCTGGATAGGGTGGGACAGGGTGGTATCTGTGTTAGATTTTTCTTTTCAGCACAACCTTTGGCTTTAATATAGGAAGAGCCAAGGGAGTCCTTGGCTGAACTTAATGGCATCTACTGTAACACTCTTGTCACCCCATCTGAGATGAGGGGCTTCTGCTCCTGTGTTGGATGTGACAGTCTAGCAGCAATGCTGTGGCCCCTTGAAGAAATTTGCTCCTGGCTCTGTTAGGGTCTCATTGTAAAACCCTGGGTTTAGAGTATTCATTTTGAAGGCAACTCTCTCCCAGCTTCCCCTGGAACTATATAGCTGGGTTCTAAGCTTCAGTAGACAAATGGATAGAAATTCCATGTGTCTTTAAAAAAACAGGCTGTGCTCTGTATCACCCATGTCCACTGAAGGACTTCAGTTCCATTTTAGGCTGCCTGAGGCATTCCTCACTCCCTATGGCAACTGACAGAGCAATCGGAGGGAAGGATAGTGAATGTGATTCTTGAAATGTGCAGGTGGGGAGTAGGGTTGGACAGAGATGGAAGGGCTCCTCTCACCAATTAGCAGCTGCTTCTCTCTGGAGTTTTATTTGCAGGTCAGCTTGCTGTTGCAGGCCAGCTTGCTATTAGTCTCGGTGGTGGTGGGTGGGGGGGTCATGGCTCTGATGGGGTTGGGGCAGAGGGGAGTGGGGAGCAGTCATATGTTCCAGCTCTAGGACACGGTGCTCAGGAATTAGAAAACGCTGCTATACTTAGTGTGGTTACTACATTTCTCCTACTCCCCTGTCCCTGCCTGCCTTGCCAAGGCTGGTGCTCCTGTTCCCACCCACGGACAGAGCCAGGAAGCTCAGTTAAGGCTTCCCAACCCTTTGCACTAGTGTCTGCAGGTTACTGGTTGTGTTGTGTGTGCTGTTCTGTGGTGTTGACTGCACTAATAATAAACCTTTCACTCAACTCTAAATTCTTAATTCACCATCACTCCCTCCCCTTGTAAGAACTTCTTTGCTTAGGCCTTTCTCCCCCTGCTTCCTTGGTCTGGAACTGACCTCTGCTCTATGAGGATGTATGCTTGGGAGTCATGTGTACCTCCCATGTGCTTTGCCTTGTATGCCCTCCTGCTCCCACAGCCGCCAAAGCTCTCTTCGCTCTCCTGAATATTCTTTCCAGGCTGTGCTTTTACCCTAAAATTCCATGTCTTTCCTAAGTGCTCCTGGGCTGGGGGAAAAGTTTCTACAAAAGACATGTAAACACTCTTTGCTCTGGAATTCCATTGCAGGCTGGGAAGCCTCCGTCTCTCACAGGCTCCTAACTAAAAAAGTCATTGTGAGGAAGGGAACAACCGTACCTGCTTTCAGCAAACCTTGATTTTTTTTTTTTCCCGTGCCAGTGCTAGGGTTTGATCTCATCCCTGAGCCTTTTTGCTCAAAGCTAGTCCCCTACCACTTGAGCCACAGTTCTACTTCTGGTTTTGGTGCTGAATTGGAGATAAAGAGTCTCCAATTTACCCTAAGTGTCTGCCTGGGCTGGGCTGGAGCCTCTATCCTCAGATCTTAGTCTTCTGAGTAGCTAGGATTACAGCCGTGAGCCACTAGCACTAGCTGATAAAGCTTATTAAACATTTACTGTCACCACCTTCTCCCTATGATAAAATACATATATTTAAATTTATTGAACTTTCTTTTTTTTGTTTTTGTTTTTGTCCAATGGTGGGGCTTGAACTTAAGGGCCTGGGCACTGTCCCTGATCCTCTGTGCTCAAGGCTAGCACTCTACCACTTGAACCACAGTGCCACTTCTGGCTTTTTTCTGTTTATGTGGTACTGACAAATCGAACTCAGGGCGTCATGCATGCTAGGCAAGCACTACCACTGAGCCACATTCCTAGCACTTGGGTTTTGTTGGGTTTTTAACTGTTTTTGTTTGTTTGGTTTTTCTGCTGGAGACTGAGCACAGGACATTGCACTTACTAGGCAAGCACTTTGCCACTGAGCCATATCCCAGCCCTTGTTAAGCTTTTATCATGGGCTTAATGTAAATCTAACAGTACTCTAATGAGTTTTAAAGGAGGCGTTCCTGCATGCTCTGAGTCTACACTTTCATACACACAAAATTTGATTCGAAAATGATAATAACCATGTCACAATGTAGATCATAGGAGGCAATACATTTATCAGAGGAAAAACTCATATTCCTCATTTCTTTTTTTCCTGACAGTCACTAGTTCATGCTTGTAATCCTAGCAGGAGACTGAGATCTGAGGATTGAAGTTTAAAGCCAGCCTGGGCAAAGAAAGTACACAAGGTGGGCTGGGAAGGTGGCTCAGTGGTAGAGCCCTTGCCTTGCGTGCCTGAGGCCCTGGGTTCGATTCCTCAGCACCACATGAGCAAAAAGAAAAAAGCCGGAAGTGACGCTGTGGCTCAAGTGGTAGAGTGCTAGCCTTGAGCTGAAGAGCTGAGGGACAGTGCCCAGGCCCAGAGTTCAGGCCCACGACCGGACCCCCCCCCCAAAAAAAAAAAAAAAGTACACAAGGTTCTCATCTGTAATTAACCAGTGGAGCCAGAAGTAGAGCTTTGGCTCAAGTTGTAGAGTACCAGCTTTAAGCAGAAAAAAAAAAAAAAAACCCACTTAGGAATAGCACCTAGGCTCTGAATTGGCCCCAGTACTGATACCAACTGGAGGCAGTGGTAGAGTACCAGTATAGTTAGTAAACTTGGGGCCTGAATTTGAACTCCAGTACTATCCAAAAAATTATTTTGAGAACTGAACTTGCAGCTCACTCTTAAATGTCTTGAATGGTGCCATATCTTTGTTGTTGTTGTTGTTGGTCATGGGTCTTGAACTCTGGGTCTGGGCACTGTCCCTGAGCTCTTCAGCTCAAAGAGAGGGCTCTACCACTTGAGCCACAGCGCCACTTCTGGTTTTTTGATAGTTAATTGGAGATAAGAGTCTCATGAACTTTCTTGCCCAAGCTGGCTTTGAACCTCGACCCTCAGATCTCAGCCTCCTGAGTAGCTAAGATTACAGGCTGGAGCCACTGGTGCCCAGCATGCCATATCTTTTTAGGGTAGTTTTGATGTTTTGGAGCATAATCATAGAATGTCTTCCTACAATATACTTACTAGAATGAGGAATCAGGTGGCCAAATGGCATCTACTTTGGCAGAGAACTTATTTCTCAGCATCAATGAGTACATAATTAAAAGGCATAATAAATGTGATAAGATTTACTAGCAATAGAAGATGGAGGAAGATAGCCATTGATTCTGATGAGAATCAGGAAGTTGTTCAGAAGTGTTATTTCTAGAGCAGAAGTCTACAAATCAGCTTTTGCTTTAAAAAATTGTTTAAACATAGCCATGTCCTTTTGTCTACATTGTGTCTGGCTGCCTTTTTTTTTTTTTTTTTGCCAGTCCTGGGGCTTAAACTCAGGGTCTGGGCACTGTTCCTGAACTTCTTTGTGCTCAAGACTAGCACTCTACCACTTGAGCCACAGCACCACAGCTGTTTATATGGTACTGAGGAGTCGAACCCAGGGCTTCATTCATGCTAAGCAAGCACCCTACCACTAGGCCACATTCCCAGTCGTGACTGCATTTTTTTTTGTTTGGTCATTCATGGGGGCTTGAACTCAATGTCTAAGTGCTGTCTCTAAGCTTTTCCACTCAAGGCTAGTTCTCTACTACTTGAGCCACAGCGCCATTTCCGGTTTTCTGGTGGTTACTTGGAGATAAAAGTCTCATAGACTTTTTTGCCCGGGTTGGCTTAGAACTGAAATCCTCAGAACTCAGCCTCCTGAGTAGCTAGGGTTACAAGTGTGAACCGCCCAGCGACTGCTGGTGGCTCATGCCTATAATCTTAGCTACTCAGGAGGCAGAGATCTGAGGATCAAGGTTCAAAGCCAGCCCTGGCAGGAAAGTCTCTTATCTCCAATAAACCACTAGAAAACCAGAAGTGGCGCTGTGGCTCAAGTGGTAGAGTACTCGCCTTGAGCTGAAGAGCACAAGGACAGCACTCAAGCCCAGCGGTCAAGTTTCATGACTGAAGAGAGAAGCCAAGGTCTTGTACATATCAGACAAGTACTAGTACCAAGGATCTCTGGCTGCTTTTATGTTACAGCTTCAGAGTAGTTGCCATATACTGTAAATATTCAGTCCTTTACAGAAAAGGTTTGTCAAAATATTCAAAACTTGCTGGGCACCATTGGCTCACGCCTGTAATCCTCACTACTCAGGAAGCTTAGATCTGAGGCTCATGGCTCAAAGCCAGACCAGGCAGGAAAGTCCTTGAGACTCTTATCTCCAATGGACCACTGGAAAACCAGAAGTGGTGCTGTGGCTGTAGTGGTAGAGTGCTCAAAAAAAAAAAAAAGAAGAAGAAGTAGGGCACTAGCCTTGAGCCAAAGAGCTCAGGGATAGCACCCAGGCCCAGAGTTCAAGCCCACGACCAACAACAGCAGCAAAATCAAAACTTAAAGTTAAGAGAACTAAAGTTAGCAGAAATAAGATTAGTGGTTTCATTTACTTCAGTATGTAGACATTTGAAAAATCAAAAGAATACTTTTGTACATTATCAAAATAACCAACAAATCTATATCTAATTGACATTTTCCCCAGTTCTCAAAAGAAAAAACCCTAAAGCTAATTTTTTCTAAGACTAGATCCAATCAGGACCATTCATTATATGGGATTACTGTTCAACTCTCCCTTTCTCTGAATTCCTAGAACAGCTTTTTGTATGTAGTACTATTTTGTTGGAGAGTGTGGATCAGCTGTCCAGGGAAAGTCCATTCCTTGAGAGGCGCAGGTAGCTGGTAGTGCAGTTCTGCCATATAAGAGAACCAGGAACCTTCAGCCAGGCACCAGAGGCAATTCCATCTACTCCAGAGGCTGACATCTGAGGATCCAACTCCAAAGCCAGCCAGGAAAATCCATGAGACTTACCTCCAATTAACTACCAGAAAAATGGAAATGGCACTGTGGCTCAAAATAATAGAGCACTAGCCTTGAGCAAAAGAGCTCAAGGATGGAAGTGGCGCTGTAGCTCAAGTGGTAGAGCGCTCGCCTTGAGTTGAAGAGCTGAGGGACAACGCCCAGGCTCAGAGTTCAAGCCCCATGACCGAC